CTTTTTTCTTAATCCTTTCCCTTTCCTTAACACGTTTACGCGCTACAACGATTCCTTTTCTTTTACCCTTACCTATTCGCAAAACACCCCGGTTCCGTTCGTTGTCGAGCCTGTAAGACGAGCAAAAAGTCGATCCACCAGATTTGCATCTTGAACCAGGAAAAAGAAATAGAATAAACAGTAAATAAGAGATGGGAGACTACAAGGCAGCGAGCGCGACGGGCCCGAGCGTTGTTATCGTCGGCGCGGGAGCTGGCGGCGTAGCTCTCGCCGCGCGTCTGGCCGCTGCGGGCTGCAAAGTGACGGTTGTAGAGAAGAATGAGTTTTCTGGTGGACGCTGCAGTTTGATTCACCGCCGAGGATATGTATGTTTCTTTCCTCGTTTTTTTCTCAATTTTTAAATCCAATTGGCGATAAACGCGAACCAAATGGAAACCCAAACTGAAGGAAGAATCAAAGCTCATGAATAATAACCGTAAAAACAGAGATTCGACCAAGGCCCGAGCTTACTGCTTCTACCTCGCTTTTTCCACGAGACGTTTGAGGATCTAGGGACTTCGCTTGAGGGAGAAGGGGTTAAGCTGGTTAAATGCAATCCAAACTACAAGGTGCATTTTCACGATGATACGGCGTTTACGCTGTCGACGGATATTTCCGTCATGAAAGAGGAAATTGAGCGGTTTGAGGGCACCGCGGGGTTTGAGCGCTATCTATCATTTCTGCAGGAGAGCCATCGCCACTATGAGGTTTCGGTCATTTATGTGCTAAGGAGAAACTTCTACTCGCTGCTGAGTATGGCGCGCTTGGACTTTTTGGCGCATCTGATTGAGCTGCATCCGTTTGAGAGTATCTGGTACCGGGCGAGCAAATACTTTTGGACCGAGAGGCTGAGGAGAGTGTTTACGTTTGCGAGTATGTACATGGGTATGAGTCCGTTTGATGCGCCAGGGACGTACAGTTTGTTGCAGTATACCGAGCTAGCAGAGGGTATCTGGTATCCCATTGGTGGTTTCCATAAGGTAAATGGGTACTGTACCAGAAAAAATATGTGGTCGTATACTAACTATCCCAGGTGATTGAGAAACTTGTGGATGTAGGCGAACGCCTAGGCGTCGAATACATGTTCGACAGTCCCATCAGCAAGATCACACTATCAGAAGACGGAAAGCGCGCAACAGGCATTGAATTCGAAGACAAAAGCAAAGCACCCCTAAGTGCAGACATAGTCGTCAGCAACGCCGACCTAACCTACGCATACAACAACCTCCTGCCCGCATCCTCCATGTCGCGCTCTCTCCTCAAACGCGAAGCCTCATGCTCCAGCATATCCTTCTACTGGGCCCTCGACCGCCAATTCCCCGAACTCAGCGCACACAACATCTTTCTCGCCGAGGAATACCGCGACAGTTTCGACAGCATCTTCAAAAAGCACCTAATCCCCGACGAACCCAGCTTCTACGTCAACGTCCCCTCGCGCGTAGACCCCTCGGCCGCACCCCCCGGCTGCGACTCCATCGTCGTCCTCGTGCCAGTCGGCCACCTACAAGACTCGCGCACAAACGCGCACAAAGGCTCAAAACACACCGCCGGCCTAACACAAGACTGGGACTCCATGGTCGCCACCGCCCGCGACACCATCCTCCGCACCATGGAAGCCCGCCTGAAAATAAACCTCGCCCCCCACATCATCGACGAAGTCATAAACACCCCGCCAACCTGGAAGTCCCGCTTCAACCTCGACCGCGGCGCCATCCTCGGCCTCAGCCACTCCTTCTTTAACGTCCTTAGCTTCCGCCCCAAAACTAAACACGCAACTATTAATAACTTGTACTTTGTCGGCGCGAGTACCCACCCCGGAACGGGCGTCCCGATTGTACTCGCTGGTGCGAAAATCGTGACTGAACAGATTCTCGAGGGCTTGGGACTGGGGTATAGGGTTCCGTGGAAGAAAGCGGAGAGTGATCGCCGTGTGGAATCGAATAGTCCGCTCGATCGCGTGCAGCATGGGCCGTATTTGAGTTGGCTGGTTTGGATTCTGATTTCTGCGTTTATGACGGTTGTGGCTATGGGTGGGTTGGGGGGCTCGTGGCGGTATCAGAGGGGTGGGGAGGGGCTGAAGGGGGATTGGTAGGCAGTTCCAATTGAGCAAGTCCGTATGGGGAAGTAAGATAATGTTTTGTATAGTTATGTTTAACTATACACTTTATATAGTTATCACATGGCTATTTTGTTCCAAGTATACTAATCCTATGATATCAAAGCACGAATCATTTTAAGGGACAGACAAGTTATATGTTATAGCGAGTGACTGATTGAATTAAGAACTTGGTAATGGTATCGTAGAAAAATCCAAACTCATATACGCACTCCCACTTTCCCGCCACATCCGCCATTACATTAACATTACTTTCCCCCCCCCCCCCACCATCGATACATTACTAACATTCATCCTCAAACAAAAATAACAAAAGACAAAAAACATTCATAAGATATCGTGCACACCAAGCACAACAAAGGGGTATCTTCGCCATCGCAAAGCGCAGATTCTCTCTCTTTCTCTCACTTAAACAGTAGTAGTAGCGGGTGCCGGGCCATCGTGAGGCGGGTTAACAACGTTCTGGCCGTTGTGGGCAGCAGCATCCTTGGCGCGCTTCTCCTGGAGCATAGTGTCGTCGTTGTAGTCGCGGATCTGGAGGCCGAGACGAGAGGGGTCAATGTTGCGGTGGCCCCAGAGGAGGAGGGCACCGAAGACGGGCTTGGCGAGGAAGTCGAGGACGCCGTAGAAGACGGCTTCGCTGTCGGGAGCAATGACGTTGCTGGTGAATGAGTTAATAAAAGTGAATTTCCAGTTGGAAGGCATGGGGAACTTACCCGCCCTCGCTGAGGCCCCAGGCAATGGGGTACAGGATCCAGAGGAATGCGGTGAGAGAGCCGCACATCAAGAAAGTGCGCTCGACATCATGGCCAAAGGTCTTGGAGTGGATGCGGGCTTCCCAGGTGAGCTGGAAGACGATGTAGAAGAGGGCGACGCAGCCTGTGGTTTTGAGTTAGTAAATCACATGATTTCTTATCAAAGGGAGAAGGATAGAATTCTTACCAAAGACAAAGAATGGCCACTTGTAGATGCTCTGAATGAGAGCGCCGATCAAGCCAGTCACGATCATGATTTCGTCGACGAGAATGACCCAGAGAATGGTGGGCCATGGCATACCAGCGGTAAGCAGCAAGTCCATGAGAAGCAGAGGCGTAGTGATGAACCAGTCCACGTAGCGAGCATAGTAGATGGCGCGGTAGGTACCACGAACGACTGGATCGTTGCGGCGGAACTCGACCTCGATAGGAGTGAAGCCAAGGTTGGCGCCCATGGTGAAGTAGGCAATGGCTGCAACAAAGACGACACCACACGTGATGTAGTGGAAGAGACGGTTGCGGCGCTCAATGCGGTACGACATGGCTGCGAAGGCAAAGCCTGCCACAGTCATGACGGCACAGATGGAGAAGTAGAAGTTGGAGCCATGGGTGGTCAAGCCAATGTCTGCGGTGCGGCCATTGACAGTGTTGCCTAAGACGACATGTTAGGCCAAGGTTGTTACTTCTTTTACTTGCAGCACTACTACTGCAGGTCATGAAAAGGGGCGGCGAGTTGCGAAATGGCATGTCCACATACCATTGTGTTCGAACACATCGTTTCTGCGTTCAAGCTGCATTGTGAAAAAAGTATAGTGTCTTGGAGGTACACAAGAGCCAACTTTTTGCAATCGCCTTTTTCTGTTATTTAGTTCTGATACCAAGAGACTTTAGTGAACTCTGGAGGATGATCAAGCAATCCCTTAGCCAGGCGCGGACGCTCGAACTATATCTCTTGTTGCCTGGCCATGTGCGGCCATGTGTGCCATGCCATGATCCCGTCATGCCGTCAGTCTGTCATTGCTGCGATCCACAGACGTTTTTTTCTTCGTTGTCCATGACGACATTGCAGCACCTAGAACTGGTCGCATCACACCTCATGCCAGTGCTCCTCCAATCGCAGGGCTGACTAACGGGCCAGCCTAGGGCAGTAAGGCGAGAACGGCTGAAAGCTGCGACGCTGGGTGACCTCGTCAACTGCGGGAATTACTATGGAGACTTGGCTGTAGCGTCCCCCGCTTTGACGGCCGTGGTTTGAGTGGTTCGCTGGCCATTGTGCCGTGCTTGGGTGCAGAGATCAACGTTGTGGTGACCTCGAGAGACGAGGAAGACATGGGCGATGGGCGATGGGTGAGAGCTGCGAGTGTTTCGACGACTTGGCCGTGGGCTTCATGGCCCGCGGACGGCAGCTTGAGTGGCTGGAGCGGCGTTATGTTCGGTCATACTGAGGGCGATTAACGTCGTGGTATGACTGCTAGCGTCCGACGCTTCCGCATCGCGCCAACCCCACTTTCCACCCTCACGCCACCCATTTTTAAGCTTTATAGTGCTGATCTCACGAGCTTACTTTGACATCGACGTCGGCCAGACGTAGGTATCCCTTGGTCACTTTGAGATGAGATTTACGTCACCTGCATCGATTCGTCCCGTCCATCTCGCCCATCTCGCCCATCTCAAACCACCACGACCAGGGGAGGCTGAACCAGTGGGACTAGATTGGCCTGGCTGCAATTCCCGCCGGGAGATCGACACGTTTAACTGCCCTGCCAGAGGTTTACATGCATACACAATTACTATGCAAGGCTGATGTTACTGGCCATGTGCCACCTCAGCCCTGCACATGTCTTCCCACGATCGATCAGAAACGCCGTGTGCATGTACATGTACATTTCACTACACCATACTTTGTAGCTCTACACATTCAAAGCAGATAATCCGTTGACCACGATGGAATTAAACATTAGTTTGAGATACTCGCAACTAGTAGGCTGGTGCTGCTAGTCGCGCACATCTCCCTTAACCTATGTATGTATGCATGTATGTACATATGTATGGATGCCTGAGCACTGAAATATACCCACTCCTTCACCCCACTAGCCCAGGTAACTAATAACTGCCTTCTGCAAGTGACTCCATCGGGTATCACAAACGACTTCTGTCTCGCACCTGAGCTTTTCAACCTGCCGCTGCTTTGCAATGTCTTCTTCGGTAAACCAGTTGCCGTGCAGACCATACGGTATCCTCGTGCCAAGCTGAACCTTGCAAACAACTGTCTGCATGTCCCTGGCATCCAAGACCCACAGCTCGCTGATGGCATCTGGCCTGCACTCGCCTTCTTCGTCTAGCTGATCTTCATTAAACACATAGAAGAGAAGGTACCCGTCCAATTCATCCGAGTCGGAGTCATTAGCAACGGCCTTTTTCGATGCCTTGCGGGGTACAAACTTGGCTTCTTGGCCAAAGTGCTGCGGGGGCAGTCGAAATGCCTTGATCGGGTCCTTGGGATCGGCTGATGCGAGAATCTCGTCGATTGACCGATTGTCTACACATCCGGTAATCGATTCCGAGGCGGTGTGCTGGGCATGCCTCAGGAGACCTTGGACGTCCATTCTCACCAACACATCAATCTTTGTCGCCTTGCCCAAAGCAGCACCAAATGACTCGTCCGAAGTGCTACACCCATACACGTACCGTGCGCGTACCATTTCCGTGGCTGGCGATACTGTAGGGAACTCAAACGGGATTGCTGATAGTGCAAATTGGTGAGTAATGGTGTTCTTAGAGCCAGATTCCAGCGAGAATCGGTAATAGTATAGGCGGCATTGCTCTTCGTCGTCGTAGGAAATTGGAATGTTGGAAGCCATTGATGAACCCGGGCCAAACATTGATGCATTTGGTCCTAGCAAGGGAGTTGATTCTTCGACAAAAGACTTTTCAGGGTCTTTGTCATCTTCATCGTCGTTGTACTTCGCAAAGAAAGACATTGGCTTGCTTTTCGATTTCTCCTTGTGTTTTGGATGCGGCGGCGGTTCAATATTGCCAGCACTAAAGACCAAAGATGCCGAAGTCAGGCGACAACAAAGCAAGTTGACAGCTGCTACCTCGTTGTTGCTGTCGTACTCATCCCATGTATTGGCTGTATGGAGAATACAACAGCCCTCTGTTTCGAACCATCGAACTAACTCGGGATGTCGACGAGGAAATACGCCGAATCGAGCCGGCTTCTCGGGCTCATACACGACTATAGGCTTATTCTTTGCAAGGTTGAGGGGAGTTAGAGAGAGCGGCATATCGAGGATAACAGTGTGGTATCTCGCAACCCCAAAGTCATGCATGAGCCGTCCGCCGGAGCACCCGGGGACTGGGGCATTGACGATGGCTTTTGCTTCGGAATCAGCCTGGCTTGTAGACGAGCCCTCCGCTGGAAGTAATGAGTAGTGAACATAAGGTGCCACAAAGTTGCAGTGAAAGAGAACCAGCTCGTCTGTCACTTTGTCCACTTTTGGGTGACCAGTAGTCCATTCTCTCATCCAGCTGAGCAAGCCGGTGCTGCCAAACGCTTCGTGCTTCTCGTTGCGATTTTGGTAGCCATCATCTTCCAAAGCAGGTTCGCCCTCGGCGGTGTTTCCATTGAACCAGCCCACAGTCTCCAGACCTGGTAACGTGATGCGCATTGGTGGCCCGCTCTCGCAGGTTGCCAGAGCACGTCCGTCATGGTACAGTATGCTAGTGTTTGCAACACTGATTCGCTTAATGGTACTGGCAGATCCAGAGATATGGGTCCATATCACGACAAGGACAGTGCGGAATATCCGCCAGAGAATCCACAAAAGGCTGGATGCGGGGTTGACCAGGGTCGCAATGCTCGGCAGTATCGGCGTACGTAGTGCTGGATTCTGAACGGCGGTGAGGTAAACGTCCGTGAGGATGAACTGGTTGACAAAGTTGACGATGGGCTTGGTTGGATCCACTGGCGAACGACTGAACCAGACACCCGAGAGCATACCATCGCCGTCGAACCAATGTGCTTCACGCCCCAGGTCGGCATTGGTCACAGGATTTCCGCCATTGCGGACGTACATTCCCCCGAGTAGCTCTTTCGGAATATGGCCCGTCCATGAGACGGGCGTGGGTGGCCATGATTTGGTGACAGGCGCAAAGTTGCCAGACAGGTACCTGGCACGAGGTTAGACAGAGCTGTAGGAGCCTGGCGCGATGGAGCGTACGTACGGATGTCGTTTGACGGGCTTGTTGGGCGGTCCAGACTTGGACATGGCTGTGGTGATTATCTTGGCGGCATTGGACGGCCGCGTGGTGGGGTTTGTGCAGAGCAGAGTCGCTGGCCAACGTCCTTGTATACAGCAGAGTAGACATTCACATGTCTGGTCATGTCACGCCGCGGAAGCAGAAACAACCCCTGGCTAGGCAGCGGGGTGGAGTGAGGGGCGCGAGTGGATAGCATGATGCAAGTACCTGTCAGAGCCGGGATTTGCGGGTTGGCAGGTGGGAAAACCGGTGCTGTTGAAGAGATGGCGGGTGGTTGGTGGTGATGTCATGTTTGAAGCTTGAACGGGAGGCTAACCCGTTTTGGGCCACGTGCTTCCTGCACTGCCGGCGGTTGACTTTTGGGGGCGGCATGGAATTCGCGATTTGGCGCTATTGCTATGAAGCGTCTGCAACATCCAGTGTCTGCCGCATGTCCGCCGCGGCTTACACCTAGATTGTTCCCTTGCATTGGGTCCACGAGTGACGCCAACTGTACCTCTTGCTGGTCGTCTCTTTCTGCTCCACGGTTTCATCATGGGCTTTGACTACGCGCTGGTGTATGTAACGCACCCTCAGGTTGCGATATGCAAACAACATGGCTGACAGTCACGGCTAGGCATCTCAAGTACACGATCCCTCCGGCCGTGCTGCTCACCTGGCTCTACCGCCCCTTCTTCACCAAGCTCGACGCGTACAAGGTCCTCTTTCTAATATTCGTATGTACAATCGCTGTCCCAGGCGCACCCCACCACGCATGTGCTGACAGCTCAGGTCGCTGTCACCTCAACTATACCATGGGACTCGTACCTGATCCGCACCGGCATATGGAGCTACCCCGGCCATGTCATCATCGGTCCAAAACTATATGATATTCCACTGGAGGAGGTCTTCTTCTTTGTCGTGCAGACATACAACACCTCATTGCTCTATCTGCTCCTCAGCAGACCCACTTTCCAGCCTGTCTATCTGCGGATCGAATCGGGTGCGTCCCGGAATCTATGGCGATTCGCAAAGCTTACCGGCCAATTGTTTTTGCTGGGCATGATTGCATGGGGATGGCAGTGCGTTCGGAGCGGCGGTGAAGGGACATATACTGGTCTCATCTTGATTTGGGCAGGCCCTTTTCTTCTGCTACTATGGTATGCCGATCCTAGCGGGCCCTTGATCTGGCACTAACCCCAAGCAGGAGTCTTGCATACCAGTTCATTCTCACGCTACCCTTGACCAACACGGCGCTACCAATCCTCCTCCCGACCTTTTATCTCTGGATTATCGACACGCTGGCACTTCGTAGAGGCACCTGGGTAATAAACGTGGGGACAAAGTACGGAGCACACTTGTGGGATGGCTTGGAAATAGAGGAGGCTCTATTCTTCTTTGTCACTAATGCGCTGATAGTGTGTGGTCAGTTGGCGTTTGACAATGCTTTAGCCGTGTTGTACACCTTCCCGGGGCTGTTCAAGGACCCCTCCCTGCTGCCATCGCCACTTCTCTTGATGCGCGCCCTTCTCACGCCCAGTTCCAAGTACGATGCTGAGCGACTCCAGGGTCTTGATGAGGCTGTGCGTCGTCTGAAGCGCAAGAGTCGCAGTTTTTATCTTGCATCCGCGACGTTCCCTGGACCTTTGCGGGCGGATCTGCTCCTACTCTACTCCTTCTGCCGCGTAGCTGATGATTTGGTGGACAACGCTTCTGATGCTGAGGAGGCCAAGGTGTGGATAGCGAAACTACGCAAGTTCCTGAACAATGTGTACAGCGACAAAGTTGCGCGTAGTGCTGTGCATGCCCAAATATGCGCTGACTTTCCACTTGACACCCAGTCTGCGCTCCTTCAACTCCCCACATCTAAACTCTCGCACCAGCCACTGGAGGATCTTCTCCGGGGATTTGAGATGGACCTGGGCTTCGACAAAGCGCCGCTCATAGAAACCACTGAGGACCTACAGTTGTACGCGGAGCGAGTCGCAGGCACTGTCGCACAGATGTGTATTGAGCTCATCTTCTACTGGTATCCTAGCACTCTATCCGCCGAGGAGCAGCGTGCCATTGTCGCTGCTGGTAACAACATGGGTGTGGCATTACAATATGTCAACATCTCGCGAGACATTGAAGTAGACGCTCAGATTGACCGTGTATACCTTCCTTTGAAATGGCTTGCCGACGTGGGACTGAGCTATGAGGATGTCCTGAAGAGGCCAAATCAAGCGCAGGTCGAGACACTCCGCAAACGGCTTTTGGAGGATGCATTTTCGCTCTATGAGACGACCAAAGACGCTATCGAGCGTCTGCCACTTGACGCCAGAGGTCCCATTCGGGTCGCAGTAGAGAGTTACATGGAAATCGGAAGGGTTTTGGGCCAGGAAAACTACAAAGTAAAGGCTGGGCGTGCCACTGTGCCCAAGCTAAGGAGGATCATTGTCGCCTGGACGACACTTAATCGCAAATGATATGTTTGGTGAGGTGCGCTTAGCTTGCGGGGTTAACCTCGGAGATAGCCATGCCTCGTTTGGTCTAGCGTTGTGTCATTGACTATTATGACAATTCATCCTTTCCAGTGGTTCCCCAACCACACTCGTGCTCGTGTTAATCAAGTTCCCGTTCCATGACATGAGTGCAAACAGGCTGCTGGATCCAACAGGCGCGTCGTTTGTAGGGCCAGCAAGAAAGAGGAAGAGTGGGTCGCGCATGTCAAGTCGCCAACCAAAGGGCCACTACAAGAAGCTTCTATGGTTCAAGCAACCCTGTGAGTCGCGGCAGCCTGCAGTAGTATACCTCTTCTCACACGTACAGTCCCCGACAATTACACAGACGAGGCCACTTTTCTTGACCACCTGCAGCGAAATCCTAGGCTGCAGCCCTATGAGTTCTGGTCGCTCATGTCCGATGCAACCGTCATTGTACAGCATCTTGCGTCGGTCATCATCTTTTGCTGCTGCTTCGTAGCCATCATTCACGGTAGGGTGTCACCTGTCGCCGTAGTCGGATGGGCCAGTATGTGCACAGTGCTGGCATGGGTCTTGTGGGATCACTGGATGGGCCAGGAGTTCAAGACGGTTGCCAGTGTGTCTTTGACGCCTACGTCAGAGATAGACGACGTCGTGCCACAAGCCTCACAAACCCTTTCGCCCAGGGCCAAGCAGCGTCTGGCAACTGCCAAATCTGCCATACTCATCTATGCGGCTTTGCTTGGGCTCAGTCCAATTCTCAAGTCGCTCACTCGCTCTACGACGAGTGATTCAATATGGGCCATAAGCGCGTGGCTATTGATGATGAACGTTGCCTTCTTTGATTACAGCGCGGGTACAGATGCACAGTATGAACAACATACCAAGCCACCATTTCAATGGCTAACTTGCAGCTTCTAGACTACCAGCTTCGATATCTACAAACTCAGCAATGATGGCATCGGCAGTGCTTGCTTCACGCCTTCCATCTACCACCCATGTCTTCTCGTTGACCCTATTCTCCATTGAGGTATTCGGTCTCTTCCCAATATTCCGTCGTCAACTGCGTGCCAGGTCATCATGGGGCCATCTCACGCTGACAATCACCCTGGTAACATGCGCATGGGGCAGTCTTTTCGTTACTCTGACAGGAAACGGCCGCGCCACGTTCATAGCCGGCGCTATCCTCGGGGGGATTCTCACATTCCTCAGCATGGGAGTCTGTAGTTGGTGGCTGATCGGTCTGCAAAAGTACAAGAACGAAATTCATGGCCCTTGGGATCCCGCCAGGCCCATCATCCGTCGACACTGGGATTGAGCTCTGGACCCTTGCTATCAAGGCGGTATTGCTCAAAAGTAGAAACAGCACAGACTCCGTTCAATGGCCAAGTGCCGGACCCAGTCAGCTGTGCAACCGTATTCTCGCCTGCAGGGGCCGTCGATGAGACTTCCAACTGAAGCTTGTTGTCCTTCCTCAGCCATTTGATCACCTTGTGTTCACTGAGTCTCGCCACCACGCAGTTGCTCATCCGAGATATCAGGTCATCCGAGCCTACATTGTCTCCGCCTACAAAATGGATTGGCGACCATGGTGCCTTCTGAGCCATCGTTTTACCTCTGCTTGTTCCGGTGACAACGATTCTCTCAATATCCGCAAACCCCCGCAGAATATTTCGAAGGACATTCCAAAGCTCGCATCGGTACATTGGAATCACAGGCCACGCCTCGAGATTGAGTCGGAGACACTTTAAGCCGCCTGTATCCATACGCAGGGACGGTTTGCGGTCGTCCTGAGTCCACGCTAGATATTGCAACCACTCACGGGTGAGATGGGGGTGATCAGAGTTTAGTTTCCGCAAATCAATCTCGATGTCTTGGATGCACTTGCTATAGCTTGCCGGTAGTGCTTGAAGGAATGCCCGCATCGTAGCCAGACTTGAGAAACGAAAGGTGTTTTGGGCGAACAATGGTCGACGATCGATTTCATGATATATCCTGCGGCATGTTTGAAGAAGAGAAACCCTCGAGGGGCTGTTGTCCACTAGTCCTTTCTGCTGTTCCTTGTTATAGCGAGTAATCTGTGGGTCGGAGATTGGAGTACCGCTGACGAGGCAAAGGCTGAAGATGATGTGCTTGATTTCAGACGGCAGTTGAACAAGGGCTGATTGGAGCTGGAGATTTTCTGGGGGCGCAATGGTAGCCATGGTATGTATATGTGGTAAGAGGACGCAAAAGGGGGTGCCATGTTTGGCAGCGATATCACTTCAGCTTTAACTGAGCTGATAGACCGCCTGTCTGCAGCAGCTAGGATCAAACTTCTAGTCAGCGTGGCGTTTCGCCGAAGGGCCCTTTCACCACTATCATCGAGAAGCACCAATTAGCGCATCGATAGAGCCAGTCATCACTAGGCCATAGAAATTGTGTAGCGAACGTGCGCCAGCTTGCACCGAGTGACGGCGAAATGGGCAGCTGAAGCGGTGAGTTGAGACCCACATCTTCACTCATAGTTGTGCTGGGTTCGGCATATGTCGGAGCGGCTCAACAGCAGTCATATTGTTGTTATC